CATGGTAGCACATGCCTGTAATTCCAGCTACTCGGAAGGCTGAGGTGGAAGGATCACCGGAGCCCAGCAGGTCAAGGCTGCGGTGGCCGGGAGTGGCCACTGCACTCCAGTCTGGGCGACAGAGACTCCAACTCAAAAAAAAAAATGAAATGTATGGTATATTTTATATATGTTAAAATATCTAATTTGTATAACTAAATAAAGTATTTTTCTGTTAAATTCCAGCTGAAGTTTTTGAGTCCTAGAGAGCCATTCTACATCAAACATTCCAAATACTCTTTGAGGTGAGTTTATTATAGATCACAGTGTTCTCATCAGCCGTGCAGGACTTTGTCTCCTGGGAGTTAGGGCTTGTGAGGTCCCCCCTGCTATAACCTCCCATGTTCATCACAGGCACCAAAGGGCATTAAGCACATGCGTCTTCACAGGAGCAAAAGAGAAAAAGATCATGCAGGGGGGACAGTTCATGACTGCCACAATACACTTGACCATGCAGCAGCCCACAGTGCTTGGACTCATGACTCCTCCTACCCAGAATTTGTAGATGCAGAAATACTTAGGGCCGTTATCGTATTGTGACTGACTTTTAGAGTAATTCCTGCCTCAGGTGTTGTTTCTACTGGTATGCTGAGAATCAAGAACTTAGATTTTCACTAATTGGGACAAAAACCTTTCCAGATTAATTGAGAAAACTTTTATTTTGGTGTTTTCATTTGTCATTCTTCAAAGACCCTGTATTGTTCTTAATCAGGGCCTTATTTTCTTCTGTCCTTGCTAATTTCCTTTTTCTGTGAGATGTACACTAAGGTTAATTTCAAACAAGGTTGTAAATTTAGAATTTAATGGTAGGGTTCTATTTGGCTTAATGCTGAAGAGTAATTTTTAATTCATCTTTGAATCTTTAAACCATTTAATTATTGTAAGATCGCTCATTTTGACATTAGCAGATGTTCCAGAAGCAGGTTATATTCTATGTAAATTTGGATCACTCTGCATACATTAGAGGACTGTAGCCTACCAGGTTACTGAGACCAGCAGTGCCACACAGTTGAAGCTTACTCGCATCTCTAGATACTAGAAAGTTGTCTTGGTTGAGGACTGTACCTTCTATCTCTTACCTTTTCTTTTCACTCTTTTATTTTATTTCCTATTCCATTTCTTCCTTCTACTGTGTGCTATAAAACATTTTAATGTGCTTGAGGGCTGAACATTTCATTTCCTCCCAGGAGACTAACCCAAAGGTATGAATTATAGATTTCAGTTCTGCAAATGCAATAATGACTATATCTGGAAAGTTGACATAGACTTAATCTCTCTGTGCCTCAGTTTCCTTACTTGTAAAAATGGAGGTGCTAATGGCAGTGTGTAATTGTTAAGAATATATACGAGCTGTATGGTAATAGTGCCTAAACATGGCAAGGTCAGCAGATGTTAGTGTTGTCATTCTCATCCAGTCTGTCCTTTAGGTGGCCTTCACTGGCAGGATGTGTCAATACTAACTCCACATGTTTTGATAAAACATCACTGTTTCATCTCAGTGTTTCTTCATTTAATCCCTTTCACAACTACATAAAAGAGAAAGGCCCAAGTTTAAGAGCCAGCTAAATCCAATCTGCCAACTTCTCTGCTCTGAGTTCTACTTCAGTCATTTGTGTGTCTCTCCAGTGACTGTAATTGCCCTGGTAGATTTGAGACTAGTGATATTATCATGTGTGTACTAATTGTTTGGTAATACTAAAATACATGGTAACACAACTGTAGTGACAGTTTATTCAAAAAGAAATCATTTAAATTTCTAATTGTGGTAACTATTTTGAGTAGTGGAGTAAATACTGAATAAATTATCTAACCTGAACACTGTTATTTTCTAAACTCAGATTTTATTGTAACTGCATTATTTATTTTGCTGCTGCTTTATTCTCAGACTGGTTTACATCCCACATCTTAGCCAGCTTTTGGCAGGTATATATTTATTTATTTATTTATTTTGAGTCGGAGTCTCACTCCGTCGCCCAGGCTGGAGTGCACGCTCACGGCCAACCCAGTGTCGACCTGCTGGGCTCAGGTGATCCTTCCGCCTCAGCCTTCCAAATAACCGGAACTACAGGTGTGCACTATCACTCCCAGCTAATTTTTTGGTTTATTGTAGAGATGAGGTCTTGTCGGGTTGCTCAGGCTGTTCTCGAATCTGTAGGCTCAGGCAATCTTCTCACTTATACCTCATTTATATATACCTCATTTATAGTTTTGGTAAAGAATCTGGCCAGGTGCGGTGGCTCACGCCTGTAATCCCAGCACTTTGGGAGAACAAGGCAGGAGAATTGCTTGAGCCCAGGAGTTCGGGACTAGCCTGGACAACTTAGTGAGACCTCCATCTCTATTTTTTTTTTTTAATTATTATTTAAAATAGCTGATTTAATTGCTTGTCAAATTGTTCAGCTTTATATCACTGTTCTCCACTTGATGGTTAGGGATGAGGCAACAAAACTTGTCTGGAGTTTATTCATTTTCTAGTTTCTGTTATTGAATACATTTTTGAACATGTGGTTTCAAATTCTCTTTTGATTATATTCTTTGATTGATTTGCTTTTACAGATTTTTTTAAAATTGTATTTCTGCCAAAATTTGTGGGCCAAATCAAGTATTTTCTTGACCCTTTCCAGAGAAAGAACCTGAACCGATTCCATTTCAGTGGCATTACAGGTGGCTGAGTCTTTCTGATAAAGAGTATAGGAGCAAGACCAGTTGAGTGGAATAGAGATGAGGGGATTTTTAGACGGCAAATCCTTCTGTGGTGTCTTGGTCCATTTGGGCTACTATAGCAGAATGTCCTAGGCTGGGTGGCTCATAAACAAGTAGATCTCTCACAGTTATAAAGCCTGGGAAGGCCAAGATCAAGGGGTGGCAGATTTAGTGTCTGGTAAGGGCTGCTCTCTGGTACATTAGAGGGCCCTTTTCTGCCTGTGTCCTCACCTGGTGGAAGCGGGGGAGGAGCTCTCACTAATCCCAGCCCAGGGGCTCTACCCTCATGGCCCAAAGATTTCAGCATATTGGGGGGGCGGTCTAAGTACTACTTTTGAAATATGTGTCCCTTGCTATCCACTTACAAAGTATTCAGTGAAGGTGAACTTGTTGACTTGCCATTCCAGTTCTAGAACATTTCAAGCTGTCATAAATGAGAGCACTGCTTTTGTATGCAGCCTAGATCTTGTTAATGGCATCTGAAGGAACTTATAAACATGAGAAAATACTTTTAAATTTAGCAAAATTTATACAGTTTAGGTAAGTTAGCATTTTAAATAGCATCATAAGATATATTTTTCTTTATACTCTTTGAATTTATTTAAAACTTTAAACTTGAGCTTTGAAAGTTAATTTAAGTGAGATAATTTTGTACTTTATTAGTGGCAGATACTTAAGTTATTCTGGTCATAATGAGTTTCTAGATCATATTCATTGACATTAACTATCATTATGGAACTGCAGGGTAAATATGTACTATTACAGCATCAACTTTAATAGCAGTAACTCATTGTAAATTTGACAAAATATGAATAAGAAAGTCATGTTTGCAAAGCACCAATTCTCTGATCTACGTAACCAAATTAAGTAAACTCTAGGTCATAGAAAACTTTTCTCTCATGACACATTTCTTGGCTTAAACTTCACATGAAGTAAGGTGGAAAAACTGGCTCCTCTGTAACAGAGAATGACGTGTGTTGGTTGACCTTGGAGAAGCAGCTGCGCACTAGAAGCTGATGCTCACTTGATGATTAGTACCACAGAACGGATGTGGTAGGCACTTATTCTAGGATTGCATGCTTTTGTGTTTGTCCCAAGCATTAGACACTTTGACTTTGGACAAAGACTCATAAGATACAGTTGTCAGATGAGAGCAGTAGTTAACTTGCCTCGGTAGGTGGAACAAAATCTCTGTTCTTAGAACCCTGAAAAGCAATTCCCAGTCTTTCATTCACCACATTTTTCATTTGTTGGAACACTGTCTGCTCTATGACAATGTTAACTACATACTTCCAAAATAATGATATGATTTCAGGCGTGTGTGGGTACATGAGGCAATAATTGCAAATACCGGCCGAGCCCAGTGGCTCAGCCTGTAATCCCAGCACTTTGGGAGACCGAGGCGAGTGGTTTGGCTGAGCCCACAGGCTCGAGACCAGTCTGGGCAACTTGGCGAGACCTTGTCTCTACAATAAAACCAGAAATTAACCAGACGTGGTAACGCACGCCTGTAGTTCTGACGGCTTGGAAGACTGAGATGGAAAGATCGCCGGAGCCCAGCAGGTTGATGCTGGAGTGGCCGTGAGTGTGCCTCTGCAATCCAGCTTGGGCGATGGAGTGAGACTCCAACTCAAAAAAAATAATTACAAATATGCACCTTTCCACTGCTCCTGAGAGGTCTGTGAGGCTGCACTCCATAGGTTGCAGCACTAGCACACCTGCACCCTGTAGGCTGATTGCAGCTTAACGAGGCAGAAGAGTTCCTCCTAGAAGTCACGGGAGTTTTGGCCAGCACAGAAGGGGGGTGAGCCGGAGTGTATTTCGGGAATGTGGAGCGCCCTCAGAAAGGATAGAGCATAAATGAAGTAACCGGGAAAATAAAATGTTGCCAGCAGTTGCTTTGTAAAAGTTCCTTTCAGGGTTCTGGGTGGTCATCTCTTTTTTACATCTGCTTGAAAAGAATCTGTAGAGGTTTCCACTCAGCCCTGAAAAGCATCCTTCTCTTAACTTATTGTTGTATACGAGTCTGATCTCCCTGAAATATTGTAGCTAACAGGCTTTACCTCAGCTGTGCCCTTGTGTGCATGCGTGGAGCCAGCTGCACAGCCCTGCAGACCCTGTGTGTCATAAGAGGGAAGGAAGGTTCTTACCAAAGTGACAAGCCAGTGAACAGCGTCATCACTGAGCTGTAGGGACTTCTCACCCATGTGGGAGCCAAACAATTTGTTACTTTTTTCAATTTTTTAAATTTTATTTTTAATGTGCTAGTGTGCTAGCTTTTTCCTACAGGAAGTTTTCCTTTAAAAACTTTTCAAAGGGAAGAAAGAAAAAGTGTGGTTGCTAGAACTTGTATGTACTCCTAAGCCCTTGGATGGGGCCTGCAGTGGGTAGGAGCTCAGCCTGCACAGCCCAGATGGCCTCTCTGCTATCTGCGTGCATTTTAGTTCTGTGTGCCTTTGCTGTCAAATTAGTCATTAGCTATTAAGAGGATTTAAACTAGACCCCCCCACTTGGCTCAGCAGACTTTTCTATCTCCTTGTCCCGTGTGTGTGTGTGTGTGTGTGTGTGTGTGTGTGTGTGTGTGTGTGTGTATGTATGTGTGTATGTATAGAGGTTAAAGCAGTTCTTAATATAAGTACAGAGTACTATTTTAAACACGTCCATCTTGCTAGTAGTGTTCTATAACTGTATCAAACATCATGATTCTAAATTGCATTCAAGTTTAGTCAAAGTCTAAAGCAGTTGATGCATCTTATCACAATACTTTTTTTGTTAGTTTGTTTTTTGAGACAGGATCTCAGTTTACTGTTCCGGCTGGAGTGCAGTGGCACCATCATACAGCTCACTGCAACCTTGAACTCTGGGACTCAACCAATGTTCCTGCCTCAGTCTCCTGAGTGTAGGTGCATGCTACCAAGCACTGCTAATTTTCTTTTCTTTTTAATTTTTTATTGGGTTTTGTGTGTGTGTGTGTGTGTGTGTGTGTGTGTGTGTGTGTGTGTGTGTGTGTGGTAATGGGATCCTCTATGTTGCCCAAGCTGGTCTTGAACTCCTGAGCTCAAGTTATTCTCCTGCCTTGGCCTCCCAAAGTGCTGGGATTACAGGCATGAGTCACCGCACCTGGCCCCACAATACATTTATAAAAACACTTTTTTAGTTGAATATGGAACAATTCTATATTGCATGATGAAATTTATTAATAGTGGATTCTTCCAAAGGTTTATTTTGGAGTATCTTACTATTTTAGTAAGCAGTTCATAGATTATAAAGCCTCTTAAATTGCTAAATTATATGACGTTCTTCTGAGTTTTGACATGCCAACGTGGAAGAGAAAATTGTAGTTAAGTGCCATAAGCTATAGTTCCTTTTTAAAAAAAAAAAAAAAGGTACGTTAGCTTTGACATGATAAAACAAAGCATTTGGGGAAAATAACCAAGACTTTGAATAAAAATAAGCAGAGATACACATACATATAACTATAGAGAGTGATGCATATGAAGGTAACTATGTCTATGCTATCAGTTATATTCAGGAAAAGACTTAGAACTGCTTAAGCTGTTTCCTGAATTCTTGAGCCCAGCATGCTGTCACACACCCACAAGCTAGTGCTGTGCTGGGTTTGATCACGACAGACACTGGAAACAAGCATACATGATTTCCGGCTGCCACACTTGAAATGTGCAGCTTTGGGATGAGACCAAGGGATGAAGTACCGTCCCTGTGACAGAAGTCCAAGAGCTTAAACTTTTGCTTAAAAACAAGACAAAGTCAGTGACGTTACCTAAGCTGTATGTAAAGTGAGAGGAGACAGCATCACCACAGAAATAAAGGTCTGTTTTGAAGCTCTTGGCACATGGCTTTACGGACAACAGCAGACACCCCAGAATACTACTTCTTTTTTTTTTTTTTTGAGTTGGAGTCCCACTCTGTCGCCCAGGCTGGAGTGAAGT